CTATTGTTAGAGGTTTTTATTTACCTGCAGCTTTTTTTCTTTCACCTTCGGGGAATAGTCAGCGCCATCTCTCAGGAAACTAAAAGCAATCTGATTTTTCGTTCCTTTTACACGTTTCCATATTTTCACTGAAGGTGCTAAACACAAAAGAGAAACAACTTATTAGCTTTGAGTCATTATATGAATTATAAAGATGATATTAAATGTATCCGCTCTCTGCTGTGGGTATTCAGTTATTTGGAAATACAGGTGTGTTCATTAAAATGTATACCGTCTTCTTTAAATTCGACCACACATAGCTCCAGTCCAGCATTAGAATCCATTTTGACCGCCACAAAGTGTCCTTCTTTTACCTTCAGAAAAGCCTTATGGACCATGGTGCCTCTTCAGTCGTATACTTTCTGGTTTAGCTAAAATAAGATAAGACTTTATTCATTCAGAAGGAAATTATTGTGCCAGACACAAAAGATGCAATAAACAAAAAATAATAACACTTGTAGCTCTCTTCACGACACAGACACAGGTCGGTTCTAACTTCGTTACGTCATTTACAATACTAATAGTAAAAATAGCAAATTTAACAAAAAACTACAAGAAACAAAGATAGACAGATAATGAAGCTTGTAGAGTCCTCAGTCATGCATTAACGTGTATTACAGAACTGCCATAACACCACGCACTGTTGAAGCCTGTGTATTGCAGTGAGGAGGAATGCTAAGGTGCATGTGAGAAATAATGCAAAAGTAACTTACCGTCGCTGATAAAGTGTTGGGAAGCATGGAGAGTAAATGTTTAGAGACCGTGTTGTTGACAGAGCAGAAGGCGCGTGCAGAAGGAGCGAGCGAGCTGCCATTAAATAGTCTCACTGACGCGAGGCGCGCGCGCACAACGCAAGGGGCTGGGCCGACTCATGGAATGAAACCCGACGAATTAAATGCTTCACAATCACATGTGTTTAATTGCATTCTTTTTTTATATAATTACAAAATCGGAAGTTGTGAAATCCGCACGTAAGCATCTGAATAATAGTTTCCATGAAGATGCATAAAGATGACTAGTTTATTTTTTATCACTAAATCACTCATGGTTTTATCCTTGGATTGACATGAAAAACGAACAGAAGATAGACAGAATGATGGCTGACAGCAGGATTATGCTTTCCTTTTCTTACTGTGTCGGCTACGTTCTGAAGGCATGTAAAGGCACAAATTAACCCAGCTCATTTATGCAAAGATACAACATCACTCCTTTAAGTTAAAAAATAATTATGTAAACTTATGTTTGGTATTGACATGCATTCCATCTCATGATGTTCTAACAAAAAATATTTGCAGTTGGAAATAAGTGTATTGTAACCTAGTATACCACTAGACCTGGATACCTTATTTTAGCTTCAAAAGTTGAACATTGCTCAACTTTTGAATCCTGAGATGCCTGGAAATCTCCGCTTTGCTTCCCACAATGCAGTTCGACGAAAAGTGAGGCAAAATTACGTCACCCCATTCAAAGGGAATGGGCAGAAGCGTTGGAAGATTTTTTGGAGACAAGGTGGAACTGATCTGGTACACTTCCAAATCCATCCTGAGTACTACATTACATTTAAACTAATAAATAAATAAATAAATAATTTTTAATCTAATTGAATTGAGTTTAGTATGCTGAATACTTTTATGTATTTCCGTTCAATGGCGCACACACAGACAGGATGTAATGTGTGTGTGTGTGGCATCCTCCTGCAGCTAATGGAACTGATTCAGTAGCACTGATGGCAAGCTGCTGTAAATAGAGTGACCAGGTGCCAACAAGCCACAAGTGGGAAAGAGAGTGGAAATGTGTGGGACTGTGGGAAATGGAAATGCAATGTTATTTCGATATAATGTCCATGTCACCCTAAAAGGTAGCTTTTATAAATAACAATAACAGGTTGCACACACAGCAGGTAAATTGAAATTGATTGAATAAATGGATTTATGTCTGTGAACAATATAACAAAAAACAACTGACCTACTGTCAGAAAAAATTACCGGGGCTAGCTTACTGCCAGTCTGCTGACCATAGGCCTACTGCAGTGGTTCCCAACCTTTTTTTTTACCAAGGCACCCCTGAAAATATTTCTCGACCCCAAGGCACCCCAACTTTTTGTAGATTTAAAAACCACTTCAGAGCTTAAACTAAAAACCATAAATACACCACAAATTGGTTTTCAAATGTGTATTTAATTGAATAGAACATTTTATAGAACAAATAATGTATTCACACATAATAACAAGAACCAGACTAAAAATGTCAACACC